ATACATGTAAATAAGGAACATATGCAGCTAACTTTCCTTTATAAGCACTTTAACTTTACATTTAGCACTTGTGTTTTAATACTAAATGCTGTGGTTTTATATTTTGACTTAGTCATACCTTGTATTTCACAGATATGGAAGCTGAGTCACTCAAAAAGTAAATTGATTGACATTCAATTAAGTGTTGGGAGATGGGATTAGCTCTCATGTCTATTGGCTTGTAGCCTTCTGGTCTTACTATTTTTCTATTTATTAAAAGATTTATCTCAAGTTCAAAAGCTCAGACTGATATGGACGTCACTATGGACAAGGAAATGGGACAGATGCAAAGTGGTATATGTGCTCCCTATTGACAAGACGGTTACCACTTAAATGGGGTGGTACAAATTTATGAGAAATTTACTAACAGTATACAGCAGTGTATAGTAAAAATTAAAAGCGTGGTACAAACAGTGAGTACTAGGAGGTTCATAAAAAAAGAGAGGTAAGAGTGGGGAGGGGGCACCAGAAACTGGAGGTATAAAAAAAGGCTTCATAGAAGAGGAAAGACTTGGACTGGGCTTTGAAAGAATCAAGAGGGATAAATCCCATATGTAATGGATAATTATTGAAATTTCCAAGTAGGATAGTGAAGTGATGAGACAGTGTTTTAGAGAGATTGATTTGGTAGTCACACCAACCTTGTTCATGCTGGATAGTTTGTCTGAATTCTTTCCCCACCCTCCCTCCCATCTCCATTTTTTTCTGGATAACTTCTATTGGTCCTTAAAACCAAGTTTGCATTTTAGAAAGGTTTTCTGATCTCTCTATATAAGATCCCACAACATCTTCCCTTCTTCCTGCTGGGAATAGTTCTAGTACCTTGTGTTTATTTCTGTACTATAAATTAAAATTACTTGTTTGTCTTTCCTACTGGACAGTAAGCTTCCTGAGGTCAGGAGCTATGCATATTTCTTCCTGTGTCCCCAACACAAACATGCATGAGAAAAATAGTAACTGTTCAATGAACATTTGCTGCTTTAATCTAATGGTAATGATAATCAAGAGGTGTTAAAGAGGGAAGGACTGAAACCCAAAAAGTCAGTTAAGAAACCACTTTAACAATTCGGGCACTAAGTAGTGAGTGTTAAAGGGAGCAGCCTCACTGGAAATAGTAAGGAACTGGTGAAGCAGAAAGACAGTTATTGGAGTGCATGACTCACTGAATGCGGTTAAGAAGGATAGATTGTTTTGAGATTCTAAGCTTAATTTACTAAGAAAATCAAAGGACTGTAATTTCTTGTTCTTTTATAGCAGTCCTCAACTGGGCACCGTAGACTTCTGGAAAGTTCTGGGGTAGACTTCAGAGAGACCCTGAAGCCCTTGAAATTATTTATAAATTTATGCATATAAGGTCATGTATGTATTTTCCCTGAGAGAGGCTTCATAATTGTCACTGAATTTTTGGCAGTCCAGGTCTTTAAACTTGTTAAATTCTACAGTTCTATTCAAAAGTGTCTGTAACTACACAACAGCCATAGTCTTTCTAAGAGGTATCGTTCTTTTAAAGTGTTCACTGGTGTGGCTTCTTGCAGTATCTTTTATCAATTGATAAGATCAGTTCATGGAAAATAGAACATAATATTGAAGACCAAGAGCTCTGCCAGCTTCTTACTGTATGGCTTTAATTTCCTTACCTGAGATTTTTCTTTTATTAAATGGAGTAATAATAATACATGCCTCTTAGGATTGTGGTGAGGATTGTATGAGATAATGTTTATAACATTTTTAATACTCAATATTATCTCATTGTTATTTTTATTATTCTCATTCAATATAACATTTACTGAACATCCATTATGTACCAACATAGTCCTAGATGCCTTCCCCTCTTTATGATTTCTCAATATTGATAGACACATATTTTTATATTTAGGTTACAGAGGCGGTGCAGACAAGTAAAGCCCTTGCCTGTGGTCACACAGCTAACAAATGGCAGGACCAAAATTACAAGAATCAGAAAATAGTTGCAATGTGGGGCAAGCATGAGAGAGAGCACAGAATACAACAAATGATCTGTAAAAGAATAAGCGTCGAGATAAGAGACATGGAGCCACAGTGCCAAGGACACTTGTGGAAAGTGTCCGTAGGGCACAAAGTTTCATGTTCTTGCTGGGCTAGAAATCAATTCAGGCTTGACCAGCTTTGGATCTGTAAGTGGGTGACCATGACCTCTGTGGGTGATGAAAATGAACTCAGGGAAAATGAGTCTGGGTATGAGAATAGATATGACCTGACCAGCTGCAGTAGTGATTACAAAATGTTCATTTACTTTAACCTTTTGGACACTGATACAAATCGGAATTGTGAGTTTATATTGTCCAGATAATATGTTTCATATGTGACAGAAAGCATTTTTCATTTGGCCCTTGAGGCTAATAGAGCAGCCCCCCGCCCCCGCCCCCCCCACCCCCGACACACAGTATGAGGTAATTGGTTAGAAAGTGACAGAAACTACTAGGCACTCACATAATAGTCCAGATCCAGCAGTCTCAAGAATTGTGTTATATTTTTATCCTTGTGGGCAGCTCTAAGATCTGCTTTGGTTGGCTCTCAGCCTGAATATTTCAAGGATGACTTAAGTCCACTGTATCGAATATAGAATTATTTATATTATCCCAAATAATGATCCCGAGGGAGACCCATGTAAGATGTTTTGTCAGTAAACAAGAGTCCTGGGTATAAAGGACAAGGAAGGGACAGCATTGATCCCTAGTAGGGCCTGCAGACTAGTGATTCCATCTTAAACTAGAAATTCAGAATTGCTTTCTTTCACTTCCTGCAGCTTCTACATGTTTAAGACCCCTTTAGCACAATGGCAGTGTATAGCAGTAAATTATAGTCTTTTAAGCAAATACATAATGTTCACAGATGCTAAAGCATTCATTTCATGATGACTTAGCTGTTAACTGTCTATCCAGTCTTTCTACTGCTCATTCTTTTACCTTTAGCTGTGTTCTTTTGACAATTTCAGAGATGGGTCAAGGAAAGGGGAAATGAGCCAACCCTAGAATAAATGTTAAGAGTCACAAATTTGGAAGAGGTACATAATTAACCCTGTATATCAGTATGCTAATCAAGATTGTGATTTTGAATTATATTTTGATTAGAAGGCACTTGGAATGTACCTGAATTTGAATCCTAGGTTTCGTATCTTGACCTTGGGCCTGGAAATCAACCTCCTCAAGCTTCTATTTTCTTATATGTTAATGGGAGTAATAATGCTAACTTTCTAGGTTTTTTGTGCAGATTAAAAACTATGAGCTATATAAAGTGCCTAATACATGGAAGTGCTACTTCACACCTGGATGATCATGGCTCTAATAATTATGGATAATTAGAAATTGGCTCTAGATGATACTTGTATTAAATTGTTGAACAGGTTTCTATTGCTATAGGTTTCATTGACTATATTATATTATTTATACTAAAAAGTCAATTTATAGATAGACTCTCCTCCACCTTTTAAAAGCCATTCAGTTTTAAGAAAGAGTATGGTAATGAAAACAGAACAAAAGACAAAAAGAAAAAACTCAAAACCATCAGGCTGCATATCATCTTTCTTAGCAGGAAGTTAAAGGAAAAAAAAACGGTTGGCATGAAACAAGCAATTTTCTTTGTTGGTAGATTTTAAGGTTTATGTTGTGCCCATTCTGTTAGCTAACATACTGAAGAAGTTAACATCTTCCAAAAGTGCATAATATTTACTAATAAAGAATTTAGGCCCAGTAAATTTCTGCCATAACATGTTCATTGTTTTGAACAAGTATAATTAAGACGCTTGTTCACTATTGGGCAATGAGCTAATTAGACTGATTGCCCAAGCTGACGTCTAGCCCCAGATGTAGGCCTACCTGTTAGCTGAGGAAGGATCCTGTGCATTAGCAGTCTTCTGTGTCCAAACTGGGCAGTGGGGGACAGGGGCAAATGCCCATCAGGGTACAGACAGAGCACCTTGAGCAGAAGTTGTCCTGGAAGTTGGCTAATGTAAGGAATAGACATAACACACTCCCTGTTTAAGGATGTTCCTTTTCTTTCATAAACAGTTTCCAACCTGGTTTTAAAATGCAAATTAATGCTCTGAGCAAGTCTAAAGTTAAAACGTACTAGTTTTCTTTCTTTTTTTCTTCTTGTATTTATTGAAATGGGAAAATAAGGTCCAGTGATTGCTGTTTGACTTACCATCACAGAAGATCAGTGTCTGAGAGAACCTTTGAGATTCTCTGGCTAAGGTCCCTCTTCAGGTCAGGCAAACCGAGGCCCAGACACTTAAGTGGGCTCTGGAGTCCTCCTTGCTGGCCCTGCACTGGAAGTATTGGCCAACTCTTTTTTTTCCCTCCTATAACTTTTATCTTTATTTCCTTTGAAAGAAATATAATTCCCTTTCAATCATTTATCCCTTTTACAGGCCTGTGGAGAAGATAGTAGGTGTGTCCATAAACTGAAGGAAGTCACACCAGCTGTGACAAGGGGTGGAAAGGATAGCAGGTTGTCAATGCTTCTCTGTATGTCCCCAGACAGCAATCTTCCCTAAGGACTGTGGGTTCCTGTTCATCCATGATAAGATCTCCAACATGAGCCAGGAACCATCTTTAACGGTGTGAAAAATCTGAATGTAAGTTTAGTTGCTGGAGGGAATGTTGATACTTCTAAGGAAGGAGCCAAGCAACTGAAAACTTAGAGTGAACTGTCACCCTGTTTTGTTGGATAATTGTTACTTCAAAAAAAGAGTATTCTCTTCCCACTTTCCACCAACCATTTATCTAGGAAACTCACCACCCAGAACTGTTTAGTGGAGCTGAGGGAAAATGGTGTGAAATGTGATAAAATGTAATTGGAGTAATGAAAACAAAAGATTTCATGATATAATTTCTTCCAAGTCATCCATTTTATAAAAACCATTTTGGTAGCAAGTGTGTAGTGTTTCAAGACTTTTCCTCTCCTTTTTTTTTTTTTAACAGATTTAAAGTGGAACAAAAATTAGACTTAAAAGAAGCTTTGTATTCTCTAAATATAACTGAGATATTTAGTGGTGGCTGTGACCTTTCTGGAATAACAGGTATGATAAATAATTCTCATATTATCATGTTAATATGTTTTATTAGTAACTGCATTAACAGACTGATCTGAAAATTGAAAAAGCAAACATTTGGCCCCAGAAAATACATCCATGGTGAATAAATGCCATAGTCATGTTGAGCTGTCTGTAAACAAGCACTCTATTTTGCATTTAAGTGGTTTTCCTTAATGAAAGTGAGAAAACATTTTAGAATGTTAGATAAGCCTTCTAACTATGCTTGTAATGAGACTACGGAAGTAAAGTATTATGTGGGGGCTTTTATTTCAGTCCTGTTTGGATTTCCTTATCTGAATATTAGAAACTATAACTTTGACTCTCTAAACAGAGCTAACAAAACTCTTAAAAACCACTTTGCAAATGTTAATTAGGTAATATTAGAATCCATGAAATAGGCATCCACAAGCTGCTGGATGATGAACACAATCTAGGAATTGTATGGCCTGTGGTTTGTAGCTTTAGCTTGAGACAGACAAGAAACCCAAGGAGATGGAGCTTGATGCTAACTTGCACCTGGATATTGTGTTGACTAGTTGCTTACTTGCACAACAAAATCCAGGAAAGCATTTTAATTTCTTTCATCCTGGCAGTACCGACTGGTTCAAAATTAACAACAAAAGAGGAAAAAAAAAAAGACCAAAAGGGTCAATTTGTCCTCAGTTACTTACCCTTTTATTAAATTCAGTCCTCAGTTGTATAAAAAGGAGCCTGATGACACAAGCTCATCTGTTTGATGAAGTTTTGTATCATAACAAGAAAATACTGTATTTTCCTATACATATCTGGGCATTGTAAAACTACTCATTAATTTATTCACTTGTCAGTGGGTAAATGAATAGAATGAATGAGCTTTGCTGGTAGAGCAGGTGGGTATGGTACACAGGTGACATAGATGTTCATTATCACCTTCACACATGATTTAACTGCTTGTTCTCAGACTGACAGAGAGATCTGACTTCTTTGACAATTTCATCAGCATCAGGAATGAGGCAGTCAATATTAAATACTGCAACTGGATGCTGTAAGTGTGTCCTGGAACATAGCCACCTCAACGACCTGAAATAAACCAAACAATAATTCAAGCTTTTCTTCTTAAACTTCTTTTTGGACTTCAGAAGCTCACTCACTGTACCTCAGACATTTCAAGCAACCACTCTCTGAAAATTCATAGTAATCTGTCACTTCTATAAAATCTCCTTTCATGGGCAGATTTGTCACAAAAATACCTCCAAGATGCTTTATAAAAGAAATTGTGCAAGAGAATAATGCTGAACAGAGAAGAATCAATGACCAATACTTTGTACTTTTTCCACTCCTGACCATCTATTTGAGTCATTTTAACTATTTTGGTTCTTATTGTCTGAAATAGAACAGCCACTGCCAACACTGGCACTACCCCTGGTCATTGGGAGAGTCATGAATTGCCTGCTTTCCCTACTTATTTGTACAGTAAACATTCACTAAAGGCTACCTACTGTGACCCAGTTCACCACAAGTGCTATGTGACATTTATGCAGAAGAGACACTATCTCATACTCATGCAGTTCATGGGTTTTGAATAAAATGTTTTCAGAGTTACTTTAGAAACTTTGGGATAAATATTTGACTTCTCACTGTTATGCCTTCTTGCATTACCTTTAGTAAAATGTTTACATTTTCTGAGCTTCAACTTTCTAATCTGATAAATGAGATAATATATTGTGGTGGCAGATAAATAAAAGAATGTATGTAAATACCTTTCACTATCTGGTAAATGGTAGATACACAGTAAGTACAAAAAACAAGTGAGACAAATGGCACATTAACATTTACTTGCACATAGAGCAAAGTTATAGAAGATTTCTTGTCTTCTTAGTTTGACAAAGACATACTTGGCATTTTCATAGAAAATGAAGGGGAAATAATTATTATGAAGGTATAGAAACTGTTGAGTTTATGGACCCAGATTCTTTGTTCTAGTCTACTGTCTCTCAGGTCTTGTTCTTAACCAAAGACCAGGGAATTTCTGAGGAAAAGGGGAGTACAGAAGACAAAGTCGCAAATTCTAATAGCGAGAAAGTCCCTTGGCCTGGTGCTGGTGCTAAACTGGGTGAAACTCTCCTCTCCACCCCAGCCTGATTTTTGGTCTTCACTCTTGGTATGGACACTTAGGTCATCTTGTCTGTGCTTTATATGTGAATCCTATCTTACTCTAGGCATTCCTGGGGAAAGAACATGCTTATTTTACCTGACCTTAAAAGAACATTTTTCTGCATTTCAGGTAATCCACACTAACATTATGGATGCCTGCCTTATATGTTTCTATTGCTGGACAGATACATATCCATTGATTGATTTATTTGACAAGTATTTATTATAAGCCAACTATGCACTATTTGTTTTCTGGGGATGACTAAAATGGACAAAGTCCCTCTTCTAGTGGAGTTTACAATTGTTGGGGCCAATGGATGACTAATAGTTAATTAATTAAATGGTGAGGTGATAGAATTATCACCTGTGAATTAACTAAAATAGAGTCATGGGATAAACAATGTCAGAGAAGAGCAGAATTAGGATGGTAAGGGAAGACTGCTATCTGTAAGTGACATTTTTGTTGAGTCCTAACAAGAGAGCTGAACAGGGGAAGTTCTGGAGAAGGGAGTTCCAGGCAGAGGAAGAGTGAGGGCTAAGGCCTTGATGCTTGGCCTTGTCAGCTGGGTAAGGGAAAGAGGGTTGAAGATGAGAGTAAGAGGTAACTGGGGCCCAGATCATCACAGGCAATTTGGAGTTTATGTTTAGGAAGCCATTTTTTATGCAAATATCCCTTTGATAACTTCTCTCTACTTTGCCTGAGGGAATTTACTTTTCTGTACCAAGTTATTTCTCCAAGAATCCTTTTAAGTCCGTGGTTTTGGTGGAATCCACCTGCCTCGCATCAGCTTTCTCTCTCAAGAGAGATGAAGCTATTTTTTCTCCTTTCAAGTTTCAAGGTCCGGCTTCCTCTCCTCCATCCTTGTGTGGCCACTGAATCTATAGCCAAATTGCCATTGGCTCTCTGAGGAACATTATCTTATCTAACCGGTCTTGAACCAGCAGGGTTGGCCAACGGCTTCTGAACTCACGGTCCCACCTCCCCCTTTTCCAGGAGACTATCCTTACAGGTCACTATGTCAGCAGCTTCACACATACATCAGTTCCACCAAGGGGAGGAGAGGGGTGTTCTCTATCAGTTTTTTCCACACATGAACCAAACGCTATAAGACAATATCTTACACTGAGAAATTTGAGAAGCTTTAAAATATCATTCTGAAGTGATTTTGTAACAGGTGACATAAAAGCTCTTTAGACTTTCATAGTCTCACCAGTCTTAAAGGAAAGTAAATTTTGTTTTAAACTCACTTCAAAACTGCATACAGAATTTGAACGGCAAGTTGGCTTTGAGGTTGAATATATAGGGTGGGATTAATTCAAATCTGTAAAGCCTTTTTTCATCCTATCTGTAGGCTATGGCTAAGAGGGGTAAAACCTTCTATCCATTCAAATATTTCACTAAGTGGGGTATCTGATTTGAGGTTTGTTCTCTTCTGTCTTTACCTTTTTATCTCCACTAAACTTGATATCTATGTATCTTTCTCTGTATCATCTCTGCAAGAGCTCAAGTTAAACCAACTTTATCTCTACCAACTTACCTTAGAGTTTGCTTTTTTCCTTTTGTTTGATCATTTGAAAATGTAATTAACCTGGGACCTAATAAATAAGGGCTCTGAACTTTAACCCTTAAAAACATTTTCATATCTTTCAACAGATTCATCTGAGGTGTTTATTTCCCAAGTTGTGCAACAAGTTTTCTTTGAGATAAATGAAGATGGCAGCGAAGCTGCAACATCAACTGGTATGATAAGTGATTTCACAACAAGCTAGAGGAAAGACACGGGGCAATGAGTATAAGGGTATTGGCACATTTGCATGCTCTGAGCTCCTTTTTCTCTCTTGCTATCCAGTACACTCTAGGAAAAAAAAAGAATGTGGCTATATTCCTGCATCTCTGTAGCTGCATCTTAATGCAAAAAGGAAGGGAAGGGATTTGATTAGGAGTGGAGGCCCATCTACTGACACCTATTTACTTGTAAATTGGGTTGCCTGCCAGTTAGAGGCTAGGACCTGTGCAGAAACTTTAGGCTCAAACATGAAGTCATTATTGCTCAGGAATGTTCATTCTTAATTGCATTAAGAATGCTTATTCTATTAATTGCATTCTTCCATTACATCAAGTTAGTCCCTACTTTTCTAATATGATTCTTATCATTATCTTTATGGCAGTGGCTTTCAAACTTAATTGAAGATTAGAATCACCTGGAAAGCTTTTAGAGTCCCATGCCCAGCCCACACCCTAAAAGTAATTAAATTGGTATTTCTGGAGGTGAGATCCAGGCTCCAGTATTTCTTTGTTTTCCTAAGTGATTTCCATGTGCATCCAGCCAGTGCCCTTCAGTGGCCTGCAGCTGGTCCTGGACTGCAGCAGTGGTAGGTAGAGAAGCAGCGTCAGCATCACTTGGGAGCTTGTTCCAAGTGCAGAACCTCGAGTCCAACTCCAGACCTACTTAATCAGAATTTCCTTTCCCAAGGTCTCCAGGTGATTCGTGTGCTTGTTACAGATTGAGAACCACTTCTCTGTGATATATTTCCTGGAACAAATGGCATCTTGAATAATATTTATGTTGCATATAATATTAAAAAAATAATTGGTAAAAAACCTTACTTTCAATTAAAAATGGAAAAGCAACTTTAAGGAATCCCACACAAGTCTATTTAAATTCTTCAGACTATTTGGATTTAACCAATATGTGAAAGATATGCATCCTTTAAATTGTCTCATTGATAAATTTCTGTCAATTTAAAATATCCATGTTATTAATTTTTTGATTATTTGTAATGTTGCATAGTACCAATGGATTTTGACACCAGGGTGGGACACACTGGACGCCCACTACCATTTTGCCATCTCCTGAAAGACTTGACATTATTGTGCTCAGGAGCTTTAGTTGGCTGGGATGCAGTACTTAATCTTTGGACAAGCCGGAAGGTTGCATTGGGGTGTGGCTGATGCCCTTGCAGACAAATTTTCCATCTGCTTTTCCATAGAACTGGAAGAATCCTTAAAGATCATTGTCTGATTTTCTCATTATATAGGTGAAGAAACAGGCCTTCAATGTGAAGTGGTTTGCCTAAGATCATGCTATTAATTGATAGCAGAGTTTGAAGTGAAATCACGTACCATGTCTTCAAGTTCAGAGCTATTTCTGCTATTGCCCACTGCCTCTAATTTTAAGCCCAGGACTCTCTAAGAGGCTGTGACAATCATTTGGAGATCAGTAGTGACCCTGGTGATTATATCTCAACATAGTCAATGTATTATGACTTCAGGCACCTGCTCAGTGGATGCTCAAGAATGAAGAAGCTCAAGTATTCACCCAAATGAGAATGGAAATTATATTTGCCATGCTTTCTTGTATTATCTGATTAGTTCAGACATGAGCCTATATACACTGATGATTTGGGCATCATTGTATGGAAGTTGGAAGTTGACATTGAAATGAGTGCATAACAAAACTTACTAAAGTTATATGCCATCATATGCCCTTATATGCCATGCCACATGTATTTACCTTCCCACAATTAACTGCCCCAAGGAGCCCAAACTCTTTTTATCTACTCACTTCTTCAGTTTACCACCCCTTGCTAAAATAGCTTCTAAGCTCTCAAGCCTAACCACTTTTGTGGGTATTCACTTCTTTTTCTGTGATGCTCCTGTATGGATACAAATTAAACCATTTCTTCTGTTAACCTGTCCCTTGTTGCTTTAATTTGCACACCCCAGTCGCAAACAAAAGTGCAGAGAAAAAGCTTTTTTCCTCTCTTCAATGGTTTCAATTCTGATCACACATATTGCATTTAAAAAATTATTTTCTTTCATGGGTCTGAAAAATTGTACAAAATCATTGCATTATTGGTAAAGAAAACATCTGAATTGAGTGTAGAATTATTTAGCCAGGAAGGAACACATCCCACCATTTAAATTTACCCACTCTAAATACTCTAAATATTGACCAGTGCCACAATGGAGCCATATGATATAAATTATCATAATAAATAATTGTTAAGGCAGCAAGTCTCTCATAATAAAGATCCCATGCACATTCACAGCATCAATGCTAAAATCTCTGAGCTAACAGAATAATTTTAGAAAAGTTAAAAAAAATAAATTTGAACTCAGATGTTTAGAACCACAAGCCTGAGAATAGAAATAAAGTACAGACAAATTGGGATAGGAATTAAGAGTTGAGATATGAGAATAAATCACATCATGTAAATAAAAAGCAGGAAAGTACTGTTTAATAGATGAAATTTTCAACTGCTTTCACTAAATTGGATCTAGTATCTGGCTTTCTCCTTCACTGAGCATAATGTGAAGTTAGAATTATTCCATAAATAATCCAATATTCTTCTGCTCTTTGATTTTTAAATTTATTCCAAATTTCTCTGTATTTAGAAAATGGTTATGTTCCCACATGACTTTTCCTATTTACAAAAAAATCATTATGGATTTATTTTCTTTACTGATCTTTTAATATGAAAAATCTAAGTAACCATCATCTGTTTCATAGGTGTACACGTCCCTGTGATCATGAGTCTGGTTCGAAACCAATTTATAGCAAATCATCCATTTCTGTTTATTTTGAAGAACAACCCAACAGGTAAATTTCTGAGAATTCTCTGGAAGAACGAACCACTTAAGTTAACCAAACTTAGTCTTAGCTGCTTATTGCAACCTATATATCTGAAATCATTTATTCATTCAATTTTTAAAATTTATCTTAAATTTTTCAATTTATTATCTCAATGGGAATTTACTGAATGCTTTTTTTGCACAAGGCATTGTGTTTTTAGAGTTATCAGAGGCCTAATAAAGGCACTGGTAGTAACAGCTGCCAACACAGCTATTATACATTCTAGTCATTTTAAATATCCATCTTTAAAGCTACCACTGTTCCAATAGGTTAGATATTTGACTAATAAAGACATAGACTCTCAGAAAGGGGTTATGTAGTCTGTCTAATAAGGTCTTACAGCTGGGAAGTGGCAGAGTGGGAATAGAACCTGTTTGCCACAGGATTCACCTCTCTGTGGTGCTACAACGGGAGTGGAAATTGGGAATTGTACAGTTGTGAAAGGTTTCAGAGGTAGAGTCCAATGACTAGCTATAAGGTCTTTGTTGGGCGGAGGATATCAAATATAATTCCATATCTTCAATTTGGGCAAGTGGGGAAAGATGATGCAGTTGGTGTGAAAGATAGGGGTGGTAGTGGATTGGGCTGGCATTTGACACAATGGCAACACAATGAAAAGTCGACTGGTAGATATTTCTGCACTTTCTCATATGAAAAAGAGAGGCCAGGGAAACCTTTTTTAAGTTTGTATTCAGGACTGTTTAGGAGTCATGAGGATCATGTGAGAGCCATAAACTACATGAGAAGAGATAATATCTTACTCATTTCTGTATCCAGCCCCATATTTTGCAAAGTGCCTTGCACGTAGCATCAGTATCCCTGGAGATTGACAGATGGACTTGGGTGTCAGACCTGGGTTCAGGTCCCAGCTCAGTTAACTGATAGTTATAATTCAAGTTACTTACACTTTCTAAGTCATATTTCCCCCATCTCCTGTTTGAATAGAACATGAGCATTCATCTCATAGAGTTAAATAACAGAATACATGAAGTCTATAACACTGTGCCTGGCACACAATGTTCTTTATGAATAAATCAATGCATACAATGAGTAAATGACTGAATCAGTGAAGGAAAGGAGGAAAATAAAAAAAATTCCTCTGTATAAATTGGATTACATTGAAAAGAGGCAAAGTTAATTTCAGAATACAAATCTGTTAGATTAGCAAGCAATACTGATATTAGTCCCCAAAGGGCTATACAAGTCTCATTTTTTATGCTGCATGAAACTAATGCTGAGTGACCCTTCTGAAAGTTTTATCCTGGTAGCAATGGAACAGTTTAAAATTTGCTGAGATTGCATCAACACAACTTCAATTCTAGTAGAAGATCTATCAGTGTTAAAAAATATTCTTAGTCTGTCCTTTGATCTATACATCTTTAACCTTTGGATAAACTCTAATTTCTTACAATTAGCATGTAATTATTGAGTATGGAGAACAGAAAGAAATGAAGCCACATTGGGCATCAATGCACAAGGAAATAATGATATTTAGATAATGATGTTTGACTCTCTATTTTCCAAGTCGATGACTAAGGCCATGTAATAGCTATCAGTTAAACAGCAGTGAAAATTCAAAACCCAAAATAATGTACTTATTTATGTATTTTGATAATGCTTAACTATTAGACCTTAATGAAAATCTCCACTATTTTATGACCTTTTAATAATGAGACTTTCTAAACCAGGGTTACTCCCTTAAAGTATCATTTAAAATGAATGCCCAGTCATTTACTGGGGGCTGTAAATTGTTGCCATATAAAATGTAGAATGGGCTATTATCTTAAGCAATACATATTCAATCATTTATTTTTCTCTCACTAAAGAACTGAAAAAAATCATTGAGATTGAAGAAGATGGTGACTTAGTATAGGAAACTGTGAAGTGGCTTAATGCTTTACATGAAACGTGCATTTGAAAATTCGTGAAGTATGAGAATGAATGATTTTAGATTTAATACAACCAACTTTTAACTGTATTTAATTTTTTGCGGGGGGTCAAACAATCTTTTTGTATAAAGTCTATACATTATTTGTGTTTTCTTGTCAGGTTGTTTTTATATTTCAATATATTCATCCAAAGCTCTTACTAAGCCAAACTTCCAGGGAAATGAAGAATGCTTTTTCTTCTTTTAGGTGTAGACCAGTGTTAGAGACTTTCAAAAGAAAATTGTGAAGGATGCTACATGAAATATGCCATTCCTCAGAAAGTAGTGACTCATGTTTCTGAAACTGACAGTGCTGCACACATAATAAACAATGCTGCCTTTAGAACTCTTTCAGGTTTTGGGTTGAAGGGAGAAGCAGACTGCAGGATATCCATTAAGAAATCTTTTCTTCCTATGCCTTTAGCTTTGGTCATGCTATTGTGTTTTAATAGTAGGAGGTGAAACTTGCTTCTGTCTGGTGGAGATGTGAAATATATTGATTGAATATAGGGGACACATTTTTCAGAAGGGTGCATGAAGAGAAAAATGGAAACAAAAATGATATCTGCCTCAATCTGCCTCTGAATCCATTGCTATTATGTCAAGGAAAATTTCATTAATCTGTCTAATTTAGTAGTGAGTAGATGGGTGACTGCATGAAAACTCAATTCAAAACATTGTCTTCTTGGTCAAAAAAACAGATCGAAAAGGTTGGGATAAATGACTTCTTTTGTAATGTTCTAGACATTACAAGTGTCCAAAATTTTAATCTGTTCTCTCCAATTATGAGGTTAGTTTCTATAAAAGTTACTTAAAAAATTTCCTGAGCAAATGATTCTGATAACCATTTTAATGCTATAGAATTAAAAAGATATGATCACTGCTGATTTCTAATGAGACTAAATGTAATATACACACTGGGAAAGTTACTTATCCATACCTAACTATCTGAAAAATAGGAGTACCTGTTCTCTTTCTTTTTCTCAGAATTCTGTTGAGATTTTTAAGGCAAAGTATTGTTGATTATAATCATAAAATGATGAAAAAATCTGGAGCGTATGTCTGATTCCATGTTATTGGAACTCTAAGACTCATCTGCTTTTCCATAGAACTGGAAGAATCCTTAAAGATCATTGTCTGATTTTCTCATTATATAGGTGAAGAAACAGGCCTTCAATGTGAAGTGGTTTGCCTAAGATCATGCTATTAATTGATAGCAGAGTTTGAAGTGAAATCACGTACCATGTCTTCAAGTTCAGAGCTATTTCTGCTATTGCCCACTGCCTCTAATTTTAAGCCCAGGACTCTCTAAGAGGCTGTGACAATCATTTGGAGATCAGTAGTGACCCTGGTGATTATATCTCAACATAGTCAATGTATTATGACTTCAGGCACCTGCTCAGTGGATGCTCAAGAATGAAGAAGCTCAAGTATTCACCCAAATGAGAATGGAAATTATATTTGCCATGCTTTCTTGTATTATCTGATTAGTTCAGACATGAGCCTATATACACTGATGATTTGGGCATCATTGTATGGAAGTTGGAAGTTGACATTGAAATGAGTGCATAACAAAACTTACTAAAGTTATATGCCATCATATGCCCTTATATGCCATGCCACATGTATTTACCTTCCCACAATTAACTGCCCCAAGGAGCCCAAACTCTTTTTATCTACTCACTTCTTCAGTTTACCACCCCTTGCTAAAATAGCTTCTAAGCTCTCAAGCCTAACCACTTTTGTGGGTATTCACTTCTTTTTCTGTGATGCTCCTGTATGGATACAAATTAAACCATTTCTTCTGTTAACCTGTCCCTTGTTGCTTTAATTTGCACACCCCAGTCGCAAACAAAAGTGCAGAGAAAAAGCTTTTTTCCTCTCTTCAATGGTTTCAATTCTGATCACACATATTGCATTTAAAAAATTATTTTCTTTCATGGGTCTGAAAAATTGTACAAAATCATTGCATTATTGGTAAAGAAAACATCTGAATTGAGTGTAGAATTATTTAGCCAGGAAGGAACACATCCCACCATTTAAATTTACCCACTCTAAATACTCTAAATATTGACCAGTGCCACAATGGAGCCATATGATATAAATTATCATAATAAATAATTGTTAAGGCAGCAAGTCTCTCATAATAAAGATCCCATGCACATTCACAGCATCAATGCTAAAATCTCTGAGCTAACAGAATAATTTTAGAAAAGTTAAAAAAAATAAATTTGAACTCAGATGTTTAGAACCACAAGCCTGAGAATAGAAATAAAGTACAGACAAATTGGGATAGGAATTAAGAGTTGAGATATGAGAATAAATCACATCATGTAAATAAAAAGCAGGAAAGTACTGTTTAATAGATGAAATTTTCAACTGCTTTCACTAAATTGGATCTAGTATCTGGCTTTCTCCTTCACTGAGCATAATGTGAAGTTAGAATTATTCCATAAATAATCCAATATTCTTCTGCTCTTTGATTTTTAAATTTATTCCAAATTTCTCTGTATTTAGAAAATGGTTATGTTCCCACATGACTTTTCCTATTTACAAAAAAATCATTATGGATTTATTTTCTTTACTGATCTTTTAATATGAAAAATCTAAGTAACCATCATCTGTTTCATAGGTGTACACGTCCCTGTGATCATGAGTCTGGTTCGAAACCAATTTATAGCAAATCATCCATTTCTGTTTATTTTGAAGAACAACCCAACAGGTAAATTTCTGAGAATTCTCTGGAAGAACGAACCACTTAAGTTAACCAAACTTAGTCTTAGCTGCTTATTGCAACCTATATATCTGAAATCATTTATTCATTCAATTTTTAAAATTTATCTTAAATTTTTCAATTTATTATCTCAATGGGAATTTACTGAATGCTTTTTTTGCACAAGGCATTGTGTTTTTAGAGTTATCAGAGGCCTAATAAAGGCACTGGTAGTAACAGCTGCCAACACAGCTATTATACATTCTAGTCATTTTAAATATCCATCTTTAAAGCTACCACTGTTCCAATAGGTTAGATATTTGACTAATAAAGACATAGACTCTCAGAAAGGGGTTATGTAGTCTGTCTAATAAGGTCTTACAGCTGGGAAGTGGCAGAGTGGGAATAGAACCTGTTTGCCACAGGATTCACCTCTCTGTGGTGCTACAACGGGAGTGGAAATTGGGAATTGTACAGTTGTGAAAGGTTTCAGAGGTAGAGTCCAATGACTAGCTATAAGGTCTTTGTTGGGCGGAGGATATCAAATATAATTCCATATCTTCAATTTGGGCAAGTGGGGAAAGATGATGCAGTTGGTGTGAAAGATAGGGGTGGTAGTGGATTGGGCTGGCATTTGACACAATGGCAACACAATGAAAAGTCGACTGGTAGATATTTCTGCACTTTCTCATATGAAAAAGAGAGGCCAGGGAAACCTTTTTTAAGTTTGTATTCAGGACTGTTTAGGAGTCATGAGGATCATGTGAGAGCCATAAACTACATGAGAAGAGATAATATCTTACTCATTTCTGTATCCAGCCCCATATTTTGCAAAGTGCCTTGCACGTAGCATCAGTATCCCTGGAGATTGACAGATGGACTTGGGTGTCAGACCTGGGTTCAGGTCCCAGCTCAGTTAACTGATAGTTATAATTCAAGTTACTTACACTTTCTAAGTCATATTTCCCCCATCTCCTGTTTGAATAGAACATGAGCATTCATCTCATAGAGTTAAATAACAGAATACATGAAGTCTATAACACTGTGCCTGGCACACAATGTTCTTTATGAATAAATCAATGCATACAATGAGTAAATGACTGAATCAGTGAAGGAAAGGAGGAAAATAAAAAAAATTCCTCTGTATAAATTGGATTACATTGAAAAGAGGCAAAGTTAATTTCAGAATACAAATCTGTTAGATTAGCAAGCAATACTGATATTAGTCCCCAAAGGGCTATACAAGTCTCATTTTTTATGCTGCATGAAACTAATGCTGAGTGACCCTTCTGAAAGTTTTATCCTGGTAGCAATGGAACAGTTTAAAATTTGCTGAGATTGCATCAACACAACTTCAATTCTAGTAGAAGATCTATCAGTGTTAAAAAATATTCTTAGTCTGTCCTTTGATCTATACATCTTTAACCTTTGGATAAACTCTAATTTCTTACAATTAGCATGTAATTATTGAGTATGGAGAACAGAAAGAAATGAAGCCACATTGGGCATCAATGCACAAGGAAATAATGATATTTAGATAATGATGTTTGACTCTCTATTTTCCAAGTCGATGACTAAGGCCATGTAATAGCTATCAGTTAAACAGCAGTGAAAATTCAAAACCCAAAATAATGTACTTATTTATGTATTTTGATAATGCTTAACTATTAGACCTTAATGAAAATCTCCACTATTTTATGACCTTTTAATAATGAGACTTTCTAAACCAGGGTTACTCCCTTAAAGTATCATTTAAAATGAATGCCCAGTCATTTACTGGGGGCTGTAAATTGTTGCCATATAAAATGTAGAATGGGCTATTATCTTAAGCAATACATATTCAATCATTTATTTTTCTCTCACTAAAGAACTGAAAAAAATCATTGAGATTGAAGAAGATGGTGACTTAGTATAGGAAACTGTGAAGTGGCTTAATGCTTTACATGAAACGTGCATTTGAAAATTCGTGAAGTATGAGAATGAATGATTTTAGATTTAATACAACCAACTTTTAACTGTATTTAATTTTTTGCGGGGGGTCAAACAATCTTTTTGTATAAAGTCTATACATTATTTGTGTTTTCTTGTCAGGTTGTTTTTATATTTCAATATATTCATCCAAAGCTCTTACTAAGCCAAACTTCCAGGGAAATGAAGAATGCTTTTTCTTCTTTTAGGTGTAGACCAGTGTTAGAGACTTTCAAAAGAAAATTGTGAAGGATGCTACATGAAATATGCCATTCCTCAGAAAGTAGTGACTCATGTTTCTGAAACTGACAGTGCTGCACACATAATAAACAATGCTGCCTTTAGAACTCTTTCAGGTTTTGGGTTGAAGGGAGAAGCAGACTGCAGGATATCCATTAAGAAATCTTTTCTTCCTATGCCTTTAGCTTTGGTCATGCTATTGTGTTTTAATAGTAGGAGGTGAAACTTGCTTCTGTCTGGTGGAGATGTGAAATATATTGATTGAATATAGGGGACACATTTTTCAGAAGGGTGCATGAAGAGAAAAATGGAAACAAAAATGATATCTGCCTCAATCTGCCTCTGAATCCATTGCTATTATGTCAAGGAAAATTTCATTAATCTGTCTAATTTAGTAGTGAGTAGATGGGTGACTGCATGAAAACTCAATTCAAAACATTGTCTTCTTGGTCAAAAAAACAGATCGAAAAGGTTGGGATAAATGACTTCTTTTGTAATGTTCTAGACATTACAAGTGTCCAAAATTTTAATCTGTTCTCTCCAATTATGAGGTTAGTTTCTATAAAAGTTACTTAAAAAATTTCCTGAGCAAATGATTCTGATAACCATTTTAATGCTATAGAATTAAAAAGATATGATCACTGCTGATTTCTAATGAGACTAAATGTAATATACACACTGGGAAAGTTACTTATCCATACCTAACTATCTGAAAAATAGGAGTACCTGTTCTCTTTCTTTTTCTCAGAATTCTGTTGAGATTTTTAAGGCAAAGTATTGTTGATTATAATCATAAAATGATGAAAAAATCTGGAGCGTATGTCTGATTCCATGTTATTGGAACTCTAAGACTGTGTCTGTCTTTGGACTGAACAGTAAGAGTTAATAAGAAAGAGCTCTCTGTTATTTCAAATACAATTAAATATAATTTTCATTAAATTTAAAATTATGTAAAACTAATTTTATCAATTTTGAAATTAAATATTATTTAATATGACTGTAATGAACTTAAGACAATAACTGAAGTCCATCCATTCATTCCACTTTCCTAGTTAAAAAGAAAGGTGACTACATTTTGACACATCCTTTGTTTCTGCTTTGCCCTTTAGTTCTTAGTTCCTCTTTCACTTGCAAACACAGAATGGCTGGAAACAGGTGTTTACATTTATGCTGTATGCCTTATCACCTCAATGAGGATTTGAAAACACTAGCAATATGAAAATATTGTCTTTAGCAGTAAACTGATTCAGAGCTCAAGGAAGAGCTCTGAGAAGCTGCACTTTTAACCCTAAGGGTTTATGATCATATGCATAAAAAGATGACTGCTAATGACTTATACTTAAAACTCTACCATGCTCATCACCATTTTATTATGCTAAGTTTGCCTGTGTCTCTATATTTAGAACAACTCTATGTCACTTATTTTTGCTTTCTTATCTGAAAAACAGTGCTAATGCATTTTACATGACAAGCTGTGTGGGTGTTAATTTACTTTATAAATTACCAGAAATGATTAATAATAATATAATTATGTATTTCAGACAAAGGGGAGGGTTTTGCTATTAGACATTGCCTATTTATCTTACAGAGAAAAAGGGGCTAAATGATTTGTTAAAATATTAAGGAAAACTAATTACTGTCAGGTTTTTTTCCTCCAGAAATTCCTAATACATGTTTTGTTTTTTTTCCCCCTAGAATCCATTTTGTTTATGGGAAGGGTGACAAATCCCGACACTCAAAAGATTAAGGGAAGAGATTTAGATTCACTGTAAATAAAAAGCTTCGGAGTGTAAGATGATTCCTAGAAAATAGTTCATTGGCAAATCATCATCTTGCAAATAATTTCTATATATCTCTTTCTGTTTTTAACTGTGCCTATATTAATCTGTATAAATGTAGACCTGTTTTAATGAATAAATAAAATGACCAATAATTGAAATTATTCATTCAGTGTTTTTTCTGTATGATTTATAAAGTCTGTATGAATCGGAAACATTGAACTTATATAAAATATTACTTAGTTATGTGAGAGTAATTCTAAGATATTTTATATATCAAATACTGTCTTAGACATCAGTCTCTATATTCCTAAAAGACTTGACTATCTGACTCCCAGCCATAGCAGCATTATCCAGAGCAGGAGGAAGTAAAATCAAGAAAGAGTAAATGTACCTCTCTGGGGTACTAAAGATACAGAGATCCAGTATCTATGACAGTAGATGAGCTTCCAGTATTTCGTTAATTTTAACTTTGTATTCCATGTGTTACATTTAATATTTCTCTTGTTTCAATTCCTTTTGAGAGAGAGCAATTTTTTTTTCTGATTTATGCTTTCAACATCTATAAGAAAGTAGAAATGATGAGAACTTTTATAATGCTTTTCCATACATGAAAGTGGCAGCTAAATTAGTGTGATTCAGGAGGCAGACCTTCCACAATTTTATAATACTGAGCTAAGGAATTGTTAGAGCCAAGACTGTAATCTATAAAGATTGAATACAGAACCCTTGCTCTGAATACTCTGAAATGTCAGATCAAAATATCCAAAATAATATATTCCAGTGATTTGATATCACATGTTTCAGTTTTTCCATTTTAATGTTAATGATGTAAAGTGTCCTTTTGTTTGTTTTACTTGGCAGTTCTTGGCAGAAGCTTAATGATAATGGCTACCCATTGTTGAGCCCTAATTTCATGTCAGGAACTGAAGTCAGCACTTTATCTATATTGTGTTAAATGTACTAAAAATTCTAGGAGATATTATTACCAATTCACATCTTCCTGACGAAGAAACTGAGGCTCAAAAACATTATATAAATTAGTCAAGGATATATCACAAATAAATACATTATTTACCATATTTCAATGTTTGAACCCAGGATTATTAGAAGTAGAGGTCTGTGACAATACTATACTCACTGAGTTCCAATTACTTCTGTGTGAGTCCTTTAAAGTAGTTCTGGTCCTCCTCTAAAATGCTGTGTTGTTTCATTAGGTAGAAAGATAGACATGAGCAACTGGAGAAAGAGAAGGTTTAAGGAAAAACCACCCAGTTAAGGGGTCCCACTTTATAACAACAAAGTCTTTGTAGGAAGATTACTTCCTTGTCTATCTGGACCAAGCCAGAGTGGTCCCATCCAGATCACAATGCAGGTGCAATCAAACAAAGCTAAGAACCATTCAAACCACACCTCATCATAATCTCATTAAAATAAAATTGTGGTTTTGCTGCACTCCCCCACCCAACACTTGGGATTTTTTGTGGGCATTTTGGGAAAAGAAATGGGCACTAAGAGGAATGGGTGTATAACTAGAGCTGCCAATCAAATGACCTTACACTGTCAATCAAAGAGGTGACTCCCAGCTAGGTTGTGATAAATAGACCCATTCCTAAAAATTCAGAGCCTTTGTCTACCTTGAATAGGTTCATTCCTCCTTTGGAATGTATTGAAATAAAACTTCCACTCTGCTTCTCTATTGTGTCTCTGCTTTTCAATTCTCTGTTTCAGTGGGGACAAGAACCAAGGCAAACAAACTCAACCCATAACATATTTGGTGCCATGACTTGGATTGCTACTCTTGCCATTAAGTTGTGCTCAATAAAATCTCTTGAGGCTTTCACTCTTCATCAGGTCTCTTGACTGAATTCTTTCCTTCAAGAAGACAAGAACCAAGGATTTCCACAATCCACCACCTGGTAACAGTTTTTCTCATCTCTAAGCCGGAGTGTTCATCCACAGCAAAACCTAGAAAAACAAAAACTTAAGAAATTATGAAAACAACTTTAGAATTAATTCTGATTGCTTAAAACCATTACATAATTGAAAGCAATGTTCATTTGCCTAGACTGTCACTGAAGCTTACTTAGATATAACACAGTAAATGCTCATCTATATGTAAATGATATATAACAAGTTTGTTCTTCACCATTGAACTGGTTTAAAAATATGCTTCCCTTATTCAGGAGGAAGAGAAAAATGAACTGTCAAGAACATGGTAGTTTTATGTGGGTCTGTCCAAATTCCTGTTTTTCTTGGATGTCCTGAATTCTTAGGATTCTCTTTCATGTGTTATATGTAAATCTGCTCTGAAGAAGCATTCATTCTTTCCACACATACTGAGCTTCCACCATGTTCCATGCACTGTTTTAGGTACCAGGAATAAACCAGTGAACAAAACTGACAAGGTCTCTTCCCTCATGGAGCTGACATTTTACTGGTGGCAGAAGGCAGTAAACCAGGGAACAAATAAAACAAAATATGGAAATAAGAAGGGTTTTATAAATTGAGATAATAATAAAGTGGCTGCCTAAGTTTCACTTTAAGTACATGTTTTCATAATATGTTCCTAATATATTTGCTTTTTATCAATAAGATCTACTAAATGTCTACTAAATGCTTTACTTTGCATTGTTGTTTTCTTTTCTTCTCTGATTTCATGCTCTGCATCTGTTAGGTGTTACTTGCCTTACAAAAGGAGAGAGTTTAAGCTCCTTATAAATGGGAGAGTAGCCTTCTAATGTAGGTTCAAACTGAATATACCCAGTTTGCAGTTGTTCAAGCAGCATACTTGCCAAAGCAGTCCCAAGATTAAAGCCTTTAATTTTTATCTGCAGTGCAATTAACTCAATAGTTATTATAGTTCCATATCACAAAGGTAAGAAGGGTCTGGAATACATAATATACACACACACACACACACACACACACACACACACACACACACACACACATATATATATATATATAAGACATATAATATATATGAAATAAAAGAAGTATGAAATAATTTTCCTTGCTAGCCATATGAAGTCTTTAAGATTCACAACACTACATAATCTATATGGGATAAAAATATTGTCAAATTAATACCTCTTGTAAAAGTCTCATACAACATATACATATATGCTTTTTTTCCTCCTTTAGGCAAAATGACCATTAAAGTAGTTTTATTTCAGAGGAAACTTTGGAATTGAGTTTTATTTACTTCATGTAGTTAAAATTACAGTATATTTTAGAGGAAAGGGTCTACTACATGTAGCAGTGGGAATTGGGAGGTCAAAGGTCTAAGACAATGAACAATTTCTTTTTTGGGTTGAAGTCTGCAGAATTTCCCTGAATTGAATAATAAAGATCTGGAAACTCTGAAAGATATAAAGAAGACTTGGAGCAGATTCCACTAGAAGTCAGTGCTTTGGATCTCTGGAAATAAAACGTTCTCTCACAGGAGGCCTCAGACCATGGAGACACACCCTATGAGGGGCCATCTCCCTGAGCTGTGGAATCTGAGACTGACTCCATGCCCAGAGAGGATGTGCAACTACTGTAATCTGTTTGCTTGTAAGAACACTCTTTTTCTTTCTTTTGGCTCCTTCTGTGATCATCTCTGAATTTGAAGTCTGAAATTTAATAGGTCAAAAATGTAGTTTTCCTTTCATTCTGATACCCTGGTGATATAATATAAAGGAAAGCAAAGATGAGACTTTTTTCACTAACATTATGATTTTGGCTTATCATTTCAGTTATCTTGGGCTTCAGTGTCATCACCTCTACAGTGAAGTGTGGGGCAAATCCTACTTTAAGTCTTTATTCCAAAGTCCTAGTAGATTTATGTTTGTAAATTTGGGCTTCTTAACAGAGGTACATTTTTGGAGTAATGTCATTTGAGTCATTATTGTCTATAAGTGATGATTTTTCACAAAACAAAACAAATTCCCCAAGGTACTTCTCATGAGAATATTGGTCCGTTACATTATCCTAAATTATTGGTAGCTGTCTATAGGTCTGAGATTTAATTTTTAAAAACAGAATACATATAAAACAATTTTCATAGGTAGCAGTGACCTCTGTCTGCTGGTGAAGGTTTTGACCATGACTTCCCACATGCAGAGCTGCTCCTGGGCAGGGACAGTTTAGCAGGGCCTTCATTTCTCCTGCCATTGCATTTATCTAAGGGGAGCCCGGTAACTAGTTCTCACTGATGGAATTTGAGTAGAGGCGAGTGTTTCACTTGTGAGCCCAAATGATAAACGAGTGTCCCTCTCTAACTGTTCTCTTCTCCTGTACCAGTTGGATGTCCATACCCCAGGTGATTCTGGAAGCCCTTTTTGGAAGAATACAGAAATGCTATCAGCCTGGTTCCTCTGTCACTGTGTATCACAGATCCTCTCTTCTGCCTGGGCCAAAGGCACCTGGGAATACCTACCACCATTGGACTGTGATGTGAGCAAGAGATTTATTTTCATTGGAATTTAAAGGATTGTTAGTGACAATGGTGAGTCAGTTTGTTACCTTTAACAGGGTGCTTCTATAGCAAAACCCACAGAATGTTGCATTATTTAAAGTTGGACCACAACAAAACTAGTCATAGCCAGCTGGAAGGCAGGCAGGTCTGCTAAGGTGTGGAAAAATTTGATGGAATCGTTGCCTGTGATAACTTGGAGAATAGATTCTGTCTCCAGCCAGAGACTACATTTCAATCTCCCTTGAACAGATGACTGACCTGTTCCCACTGGGTGGAAGATTAGCAGAGATGCTGCATTGCTTTTGGCTGCAGTGGCTAGGAAGCAAGTTTGCCTACTTTTCTTTTTCTTTTTTTGTCTACTTTGTTGGCTGTATATCAACATTAAAGGTGACCATAGAAGCCTTCAAAGGCAGAGGTCCCATCAGCCAGGGGCTCTGAATGATTACATGGATCACATCCACCCTATCCTCTGCTCCACGACCATTGACCAGGAATTCCTACACTGCACTCTACTAGGAGCAAGAAATATACCATCTGGTGTGAGGCCATAGGAACCAAGTAGCTAGTGCTCACCAAAATAATACAACTATGTTCTTAATATGTATGATCCATGTATTAGCTGTGTTAGTCATGTATTACCTGTAGTGTGTGTTTTCTCATCCTGGTGCTTGGCACCTGGC